TCTATTCCCCGGACACACTCACCCCAGGGCTTTTGCACTGTCGGTCCCCTTTGCTGGTCACCATATTCTCCCAGCAAACTCATGACTCATCACCTCAGTCAGGATTTCACTTAACCTTTGTAGTGGGGGCTCCCCTTAGACCCTTTTATCCTCTCCTTACTAGACTTTCTCGCTACTCTTAGTTGAACCTATTAAACTGATTTCATTCTTGCCTAAAACGTGGCAGTCTCATGTGGTCCAAATCCCTGCATTTTCCTGACATTTTCTGCCCCTTCCCAGAAGAAGTCAGCTTCTGGGGACACAGTCCTGCCGTTTGCAGTGTACTGGCCCGCAGTGGGTACCAAGTAACACTTTTCAGGAAGTGGCACTTTTGGTGTGTCCTGGGCATCTGTCTGTGACCTCCTATTGGGTCCTCTGCCTCTCTTCTGGTCCCTGTTTCTTCCTGCCCCGTGCTATCTTTGAGACCCTGAGAGTATCTTGTAGCCACCAAATATGTCCTCAGCACTCAGGGGCTCTGAGGGACATGGGCACAGCCTTAATGTCAGGTGACAGGGAAGGGCGGCCACCTGTCCCCTTGCCTTCCTGCTGGGGCAGGGCTGGCCCAGGACTGCAGGTCCCAGGGCCTGAGAGTGAAGCTACTCAGCAAGCAGCCATCCACATGTCACTGGGAAGCATGCTCCCAGTTATCCGTGGCTCCCAGGACTGGGTGCATGGTGACAGAGGGACGCAGGGCCCCTCCACTGGCTGCCTTTCCTTCCTGGGTTCCCAACCCCCTCCACTTCCAGGGAGCCCCTCACATTTCCTCTCCCTAACCTTCATTTCCAGGGAACCCCTCACATTCCTGCCCCTACCTCTGCAGGCTGAGCCCAGGTCACCGGGCTGAAGCAGCAGCTGCCACCCAGAGAGTGGTACAGGGGAAGTCACACAGGACCCCGGGACCGAGACAGCAGTAGAGAATCGAAGCCAATCGTTTTATCTCCAAGGAAGACAGAATCAGTGCATGGAGTGAAGTAAGTGATGGGAACCCCTGTGTCTGGGGAAGTTTGGGGAACAGGTTGTCCCCATTGTCCTCTCACGTCCACACTCACGGGAGCAGCTGCTCTGGTCTTCAGCATCTGAGCCAGGGAACCCTGCAGAGGCCCCAGCCCCAGGCTTCCCAGCTCCCCTGTGTGGTACTGGATGTCCCTGGCTAAAGGGAGGAGTTCTAGGAAGTTTGGAAGAGTGGACACAGGAGTGGCCTCAGTCCCTGGAGCCCACAGATCCTGTCTTAGGGACTGGGTGACCTCTAAGGCCATGATTCTCTTCTTCTTCCCTGCCCTCCTCCTCTTCTTCCTCTCCCTTTCCTCCTCCCTCCTCCTTTCTTCCCCTCCCCTTCCCCTCTTCTTCCTCCTTCTGTTTGGTACCGGGGACTGAAACTAGGGCCTTTACACTTAACTACATTTCCAGTCTTGTTTTAATTTTTATTTTTGAAGTCTAAGTTGCTGAGTTGCTCAGGTTGGACTTGAATGGGCCATCCTCCTGCCCAAGCCTCCTAGAGTGCTGGGCCAGGCTCTTCCGTGGAGGTTAGTCTGAAGGCAGGCCATGCAAGAGAGAGCCAGGGAGAGGCTCTGAGTGGTTGGAACCTCAGCCCCCAGGATGTAGAGCCATTGTATCAGTTTAGGTCAACAGTCACCTCCGCTGGGATCCTTGACTTTGGCATCTCCTTGGGGAGAGCTGGAGAAGCAGAGTGGGACAGGCTAACAGACTCCATCAAAATATCCCAACCAGCCAGCCACTGAGGAAACATCACACAGAGAGACAGCTTAGCTGACGACATCAGTCTTGATCAGTGATGTCATCGAATATTCCCACTTCTGAATTCCAAGAAGTCCTTTCCCGGTGGAGGTGGGCATGACCACGTGACTTGCTTATCCAATGAGATGCGAGTGCAAGCAGGCTGTGTCTCTTCTGGGCTGAGGCTCTGAGACAGTGTGACTCCCCCTGGCTCTTTCCCTGGCTACAATCATTGCAGAAGTCTTCGTGGAGAGGGAGCCTGTATCAGGTAGGTCTCAGTGACTATGGGACAGAACTCTCCTGATGAGCATCCTGGACACACAGCTTGATTGCATGTGTTGGCTAAGTCGCTGAGAGTTTGGGGCTGTTTGTTATAGTAGCGTAATCTTACCTGTCCTGACTGATATCCAGTGCAACTAAGCCAACACAAAGATGAATCAAAATCAAGAGCTCAGGAATGACAAAGATAGTCTTTAAAATAATGATACTAGCTAAGTACGGCGGCACACATCTGTAATCCCAGCATTTGGGAGGCTGAGGCAGAAGGATCATTACAAGTTCCAGGCCAGCTTGGGCTACATAGGGAGTTCAAGGCCAGCCTGAACTACATAAGGAGACTGTCTCAAAGCAAAACAAAACAAAACAAGACAAAACTAAACAAAACACGAGTAAAATAGCATAAGGATTGGTGGTAATTTCATGAATATAACTAAAACTAAACAAAGATTATGCTATGTGAAGAACATAAATTCTATAAATCTTGACAAATTGAAAAATATTAATGAAACCAATAAAAATTAAGCATGTGCTCAGTTCTTTTAACTTTTTTTTTTTTTTTTTTTTTTTTTTTTTTTTTTTTTCTTTTTTTATTTTTTTTTTTTTTTTTTTTTTTTTTTTTTTTTTTTTTGGTACCAGGGATCAAACTCGGGTCCCTGCGCTTACAAAACAGGCACCAGAACCACTGAGCCCTCTTTTAACTTTTACAGCAGGAGTTCATACCACGTATCATCGAGCAATTGAGTTGAAAATAAACCTAACAAGACTGACCTCTCACTGTTTTCCCCCATAGTATTCTGGAACTCAACAGAAATTAAGTTAGTTTATCACTGTAGCTAATGATGAAGAAAAAATTCAGCAAAGCGTAGCAATTCTCTAAGATTCACTTTTTTTTTCCTTCTTTAAAAGAAAACTAAATTCAACACTTTTGTCTCAGGCTGGCTTCTTCCAGAAGTGGATTCAGGGTTAAAATTGGACCATTTTATGGTGACAGCAGGGGACAGAGTGATCCTCAGAAATACAGAGATTGGAGAAAAGCAAGGCAGGGAGAGAAGGAAGGGACCCAGGTAAGGAGGAAGGGACCTCGGGGACCACTGGGGCTCAACCCCAGTAGGGAGCCAAGTGTCCCCGCCAGGGGACCAGGAAATGCGCCACAGGATAAGGTACCAATACTATTAGTAAAACTCTTTTGAGTTTAAAAATCCTGTACAATAGATTAATATCAAATAAATCATGCAGAATATCAAACTTAAAAGGCTGCATACTGTCTTATCCCATTTATATGGATTTCTGGAAAAGTCAAACTTAAAAGGACAGAAAACAGGTTTGTGGTCGTCTGGGGCTGAGCGGCACAAGGAACTCTCAGGTGATAAAAGTGCTCCAGGTCTCCATTCAGCGTGCATTTGCCACAGCTCATAGAAGTGCACTCCTGAAAATGCTCAGTTTTACCATACGTAAACTGTGGCTCAGAAACTTAACAGTGACCATCTTAAAAATATCTGTTATTTCAAGTAACAAGTCCTCCTCTCTGCAGACTTGGTGACTTGCTTCTAACAGAGACTAGGGCAGAAGTCAGAAAATAGGTGATAGAGACACTGTAGCCTCCTGCTCCCTCCCCTCTCCTTTCTCCCCCCTCCCCTTTTCTCCTCTCCCCCCTCTTTCATCTGCCTCAGGGGAAGCCAGATGCTGTGAGAGGAGTGGTCCTCTGCTGAGGAACTAAGGCCCCAGCCAACAACCGTGAGAGGACACCATGTTGGAAATGGACCCCCAGTCCCTATCTAGCCCCGGTTTGCAACCTCATGAGAGACCCTGAGACAGAGCACCCAGCCAAGTAATTCAGATTCCTGCCCCTCAGAAACTGAGGCACAGAAGTTGAATGTGGTAGTGCACACTTGTAATTCCAGTACTCAGGAAGCTGAGACAGGAGGATTGCTGCAAAATCTAGGCCAACCTGAGCAACATAATGAACTCAGAGCTAGCCTAAACTACATAGTAAGAGCCTGTCTCAAAAAACATCACCAGGGCTGGGGATTTAGCTCAGTGGTGCTGCCACCTGCCTTGCAAGCACAAGGTCCCAAGTTTGATCCTTGGTGCAAAAAAACAAAAACAAAAAACAACAACGTCAAAAACAGAAACGAAGGAAGGAAGGGAAGAAAAAAAAAAAAGAAAAGAAACAGACACAGGGTGAATATTCCTTACCCAAAATGCTTGGATTTGGGTACCCAGAACTGCTTCAGATTTTAAAATATTTGCACAGAATTTAGCAGCATCCCTAATCCAAAAATCCAAAATCTGAAATTCTCCAGAATTCAAAACTCAAATTTGGAACACCTGGGATTCTTGGTAAATTGGATTGGAAAGCCTCAGTTGGTAATGGCACATCGTTTTAAGCGTGTTTTGTGATGATTTGTTACACAGCAATAGCTTGCTGATTCACTAATTTAAATTTGATTTCCAGTTTAAAAATAAAGTTATCCATTCTGTTATAGAAACATTTGCAGAAAGCTTGTTGAAAGGGTATTCATCTAAAGTGAGTAATGGAGGTTTCTGGGTGGTTGGATTTTGGGGGTGATTTTTCTTGTGTTGTCTTTTTTTTTTTTTTAAACAGGGTCTTACTATGCAGTTCAGGCTGATCTTGAACTCACTATATAGCCCAGGTTGGCCTCAAACTTGAGGTGATCCTCCTGCCTTAGTTTTCAGAGTGCTGGGATCACAGGCATGTGTCACCACACCCAGCACTGGTCCGCTCCCCCCAAACTTCTTTCTTTAACTAAAAAAACCTTTGGTCTGCAATGCTGGGATCAAGCCTGGGCTTTGCATGCTGCACTGAGCTGGGATTACAAGTGTGCACCACCACGCCCGGCCTTTTCCCGTACTCTTAAACTGCTCTTTAGGACACACTTGTATCATTAAAAACAGAAACACAAATAAAGACTCAGAGCCAGGTGCAGGAGGAGGAGGTGTTGTTCTCCGGGGTGGGGTGGCCGAGTCTACAGGAAGCAGGTGCACCACTCCTTCAGACAGGTAGTGCTCCGCCGTGCCTCGTACTCCGTGGCGCCGCAACAGCAGATGAGCCACTTCTGGAACTCATCCTCGTCCTTGTGCATCAGAAGGAACTGTCCCAACAGGATGTAGGCCTGCAGGGAGAAACGGTGATGCCTGTTGCAATCTGGTCCGGCTGGCGGGTGCAGCTCAGTGCTAAAGCACTTGCCCAGGGAGTACCAGGCCCTAGATTCCATCCCAGCACGAGAGAGAGAGGGTGGGTGGGGAACAGAAATCCAGAATCCAGAATCCAGAATCTAGCACTGGGGGTGACTGATGGTGCCTGCATGTTATCCCAGCACCTGAGAGGCCCAAGGCAGCAAGATCACAGAGAGTTGGAGGCCAGCCTGGCAGTGGGCCTGGCGCACCTCCGAGGTTCCCTCAGGCCTCTCCCCTAGGACTTCTCTCAGAAACACACAGGCAGGAGGTTAGCAGCATTGCTGGTCCTTACTCACTGGAGACCAGAATACCCTCCTCACGCTGCCTAGCAGTGATAGTCACGAATATCCACGACCGCACTTTACCAGAGGTCCTGTTGTTCCCAGACCTGCCTCCGCTGGCAGGCAAGTGCACCTGGCAGTGCGGCTGGCAGGCGAAGGGCACCCTGGTACCAGTTGCTTTATGCATCACCTGTGTGACCTCAGCTGCTCTGCTTAAAGGACAAGGCCAGCAGCACCCAGGTCCCAGCATCTGCACCTTCACAAAGTGGATGGCATGACTGGTCCCTAAAATGGAACAATGGGAAACCTTTGGAGAAAAGCAAATTCCTCCAGAGCTGGGCATGGTGGCCTAGCCTTTAATCACAGTGCTCAGAAGGCTGAGGTAGGAGAATCGCTGTGAGTTCGAGGCCAGCCTGGGCTACATGTATACAGTCCCTGATTAACACCTGGGTTCTGTTACTGTGTCTAGGTTGTTAAATGAATTGGTTGCTAAATGAGAAATTATATATAGTATGTACATTACAATACTCAATAAGGAAATGGTCTAAGGAAACTCCAACTTTATGACTTTGCTTTTATTTGCATAACTCTTACATGTATAGTGTATGACACAACATTAAACTACAGTACCATACAGCACAATCCAAAATTAGTACTGTGCTGTAGAAAAAGTCACCAAAAGGTCACAGTGCCACTTGTGTTCGTATGTCATGAGTCCAAATGTGGGTCAAAAGTCTGAACAGTGCATCTCAATCTAAGTCCAAGCAGTCATTAAATGGATAGGTTGTTAAATGTGGAGTATCTGTACCGAGTTGAAGACCAGCCTGGACTGCATAATGATACTTTGTATAAAAAAAGATAAAATAAAATAAAAAAGCCTTCCCGCTGGGCACAGTCTTATGCACTTGTATTCCCAATACTTGGGAGGCTGAGACAGGAGGATCTGTATGCGTTGAGGGCTAGCCTGGGCTACATAGTGAATTCAAGGCCCAGCCTGAACTACATAGTGAGACTCTGCTTCACAAAACAGAAAACAAAGAATCCCCAGGAAAACCTCCTTAACTTTTCTACTCTGGGAGCTGTGACCCTTCTGTGTGGAAAGATCAAAAAGGTGTGAAATGTGCTAAAACTAATCCCTCTTCACCAGGCCTCCGATGGCCCCTTCTCACTGTGAGGCCTCTGGCTTGCTTCTTGGTCTGAGCTGCTCCTGGTTCCCAGCTTTCAGGCCTGCACATGGTGTGGCGATACTACTCAGCCCCTGATGGCAGGGGCCAGTCTGCTAAACCCTCCTGTAGTTACTTGTATTCCACTGGCCCTGTTTCTCTGGAGAATCCTGACTACTCCACTTCCCAAGAATTCATGTGAGTGAGAAACATGCAAGATAAGCAGTAAGTGACCGTGACAGCCATACTTTTGTGGTGTCCTCTAGTTCGCTGACCACTGACCCTCTACAGCATTGCCTTCTTCTCTACAACGTCGTCACACCACTGCTGACAAGCAGGCGAGGCCTCCCAGGACCGTGTGGCCCAAGAGATGGGGGGAAGGGAGGAGAGGGGAAGAAAGCAGATTGAGATGTGTTATGTACAGGTGCCAATTCCCCACGAGGGCTGCTGTCATTATGCACTGAAAACACGGACTAATAAAAATTTTTAAAAAATAAAATTGCCGGGTGTGGTGAGACATGCCTATTATCCCAGCACTCAGGAGGCCGAGGCAGGAGGATCACTGTGAGTTCAAGGGCAGCCTGGGCTACATGGTGTGTACAAGGCCAGCCTAGACTATATAGTGAGACCCTGTCTCGAAAAACCAAAAATAAATAAAATCAAAAGAAAAAATAAATAAATGTGCTCTGCGGACCCATTTCTTCTCACGCACCCCACTGTTCCTCCAAAGAAAGCTCACATCACGCTGGCTGGGCCTCCCTGGTACGGCTGAAGTCTCTGGTCACAGCTCTTGTCCACATCCTGGCCTCTCCAGGACTCCCCAACCTGGAGCAAGCAGAGCCAGAGTCCTCCTGTCTCCAGTTCCCATCCTTTTCAGAAACACTGGCTCACTAAGCCTCTGTTGACTCAGTTACGTAAAACAAAAGCAAACTTCATCTCCACCAAAGGGGACTTTTTTTGTAAACAAGTGGAATCAAATAAAAGCTTAATCCCAGTCATAAATTACCGGAGCTGTGCAGTTGGGGGTTTACTATATTTATTATTTATTTATTTAGGCCATGCTGGGGAGGCGCCCAGGACCCTGTGCACACTGGCCAAGCACCCCACCCCCCAACTGAGCCACACTCTCAGCCCAGAGTTTTATTTTTAGTCATTGCCCAGTTGCGGAAAAGAGGAAAAAAAGCCAGGATTTCACAGTGATTTTAAACCACTACTTTGACCATTTTTTTTTTGGAAGTGGTTGCTTAGCATGTCATTTTTCCCAGTATCTCCCATTTTCACTGGTGCATTTTACTGAGGTGATTTTATTTTATTTTATTTTATTTTACCGAGATGGTTTAAAAGCAATGCATTTAACAATGGGCATCTACAAAGTGCCCTCAGGGTTAGGGGCTGCAGGTGTGGGGGTGGCAGGGCTAACATGATGGGACTGAGAAGTGTGGAACTTCATCTGAGGAGGGAGACGGTGATGATGATAATTAAGGATAAGTAAGTGGTGCTTCCAAGTGCCTCGGTAGGGTGTGACGCACCTGGTCCCCATGTGTGTCCTGCTCAACCTCCTCTACCCTTCCGTCCCTGTCCTGTCCATGTCCCCGCTGCCAGCTCTCCTGTCACTCAGCTGAGGCTCCCTCTCCAGTCTCCAAGGCCAGCAGGGGCATCAGCTGGTCTGGTGACCAGAGCCTCCTGTCCCATCAGGCTCAGAGGGCCGGAAGCCGGGAACAAGAGGCAGCGGGACACAGGCGGACTTTCCAGGGATGCTGGAGGGAGTGGGGCTCCAGGCCAAGCTGCAGTTTGATACTCTGTCCTTGGCTTTCCCTGGGCCGCACCCTGGCATCTTCCAGGGGCAGAGGGAAAAGTGAGCCACCCCCCTTCTTACACCATCCTGATGACTCTGGCCTGCCCTACACCTTCTTGGGTTCTCTGCCAGTTACAGAACGCAAACCCATAACCATGGGAAGACATCGCAGCTCCCAGAAACCCAGCCGAAAGAGGTTGCTATAGAAACACAGAAACCCTGAGTAGGTGTCCCCACCCTCTCCCTGCCCTCGCCACGCCAGGGAGCCACACTTCTTCCTGCAACAGCAAGACAGTGGCCCCAAGGCAGATGTCCCATCAACTCCAAGTGCAGGCAGGAGGCCACTCCTTATTCACTGCGTCCCTTTGATCTCCACCAGGTTGGTGTCCCTGTGTATCAGCTGTGTAGTCACCAGCGTGCCATGCCTTGAAGAGCCATCGACTTGGTTCAGTGCTATGCTGGTGCCATCTTTCAAGTCTTAAAGCCTCTGAACCAAGGGCTTCCCACTGTCCTTTTGCCTGCGCTGTCTGTGGTCTGCATTTGTTGAAATTCTGAGCCTTTACTTGGATACCTAGCTTGGTCAAACAGAGAGATATTGCCTCAGCTTCACTCATTCCCAAGCTTTTGCTTTTTTTTTTTTACAGTTCCTTTTGCCATTCCCCAGCTCCTGAGTGCCCTAATGAATGACTCTCACATTACCGCAGGTCTCTAGCTCAATGACACAACTTCTTCTGACTCTCTATTGATGGTCTTCATGTCCACTGACAGCAGTGGCAACCTTGCCAGACCAATGTATCTATCTCTATCACTTCAAGTTTAAATCTGCCATTAGCGTGAATGCTAATGAGTGCAGCTCTCGCCTCTTCTGCCTCCCTTTCCCCGGGGACATGCTTATACTATGAAATTATTTGTTTATTCAAAATTCAAATTTAACAGGACCTCTTGTATTCCCGATCTTAGCCCCTGAACCTAAGCAACCTGCAGGCTCAGATATCAGGAAGTGCAGCCTGGGGATGTGGGGCCATCAGGGGATGGGGCGGATTCATTGGGGGCTTCTGGTCATGAGCTGAGCCATGGGTCCTCTCCGCCAATTACAACAAAGTGACTTCAGCAGAAGCAAGGAGGCCACTGGAAACCAGAGAGTCCAGAGATGCAGGCTTGGGGACAGCAGACAGGCAGGGGTAGGTGGGGACAGATCCTTGGGAACAAGTGAGGGAGGGCAGCTGTGTGTCCAGTGCCTTTTGCCTGCCTCACTTTCAGGGGGGCAGTGCCACAGTGCCTGAATCTGCAGCTCCTCCACCCAGGTTCACGTTCACCTCTGTCACCTCCTGTGGCCTTGAGCAATACACATGTGATCTCTGCCCCTCACTTTCCCCATCAGGAAGATGGGAATGGAATAAGGTGCCTCACAGGACTCTTGTAACGAGAAAGTGAGATTAAACATACACAACGCCCTGAGAGGGGCATGGCCCAAAGTGAACAGCACGTACACATTCTCAGAAGAGCCTTGAGGCGCAGGGGGCTCCTAGGACTTCTGTGCGGCTCCTCCCGGAATCTCTTGGGAGCAGGGTTTATGGCTTCTCTGGGATGTGGACACCCCACAGTTGCACCACAGACCCTGCTAAGGACTCCGAATTTACTGAATGCAGGACACCCACCATGTCCAGGGGGATTTGGAGGGAACACACGAAAACAGAGAGCATTGTTGCTTGGAAGAGCTGGGGAGGAAGCCACAAGGGGCGGGGGAGTCACAGGCAGTGAGCCCTCTGATGTGAGTGGGGTCTCTCAGGCCATGGGCAGGGAAGCCAGCCGCAGCACAGATGTCTTGGCAAGGTGGCTCTGTGACAGCTAGGGTACAGGTCAACTTGACTGGCTTTGAGACTGGTGGAGACACTTCTGGGTGTGTCTGGGATGTGGAGGTGTGACTTTGGTCCCTGGTCCTTTCCTCTCTGGCACGGTTCCTGGCTGTCATGAACTAAGCAGCTTTGCACTGCCACACACTTCCACCATGTGGAAGCCAGCCTTGGAGCTGGCTGACCATGGATGGAATGCCCTGGAAACATGAGCCACATTAAGCCTCTCCTTCTTTAAATTGTGAGTGTCATACGTTTTGTCTCAGCAATACGAAGTTGTTCCTACAAAAATCAAAGTGCTCAGGACAAGGAGCCTTCTGGGAGGGGCAGCAGAAGGAAGGTTTCCCTGAGGAAGAGCCGTGGATGGGGCTCCAGCTGTATTTCTAGCACATGTGGCTGGTGGCTGCTGTCCAGATCTAGGTTCTCAGGCCAAAACTCCTTGGGCCCAACCCAGGCAGGAACAGATCCAGAGTAACCCAGAGAACACACAAGTGCACCTTTGCCTTCTGAGTTCCTGAAGAGCCTTGGCTGAATCAAAAGCTTTTGTTTTGTTTTACACAGGGTCTCACTGTGCTGCCCAGGCTGCCTGAGCAGCTGGAATGACAGGTGTGCACTGTGCCTGGCAAGTTAGTCCTTAGTAAAGTTACAATTTAAACTGTAAACCAGGGGGCAGGTCATGACACAGCCAGAGCCTGGGGCAGGGGCAGTAGGTTCGCACAATCCTTCTGGCAGTAAAGACAAAAAGCTGTAGGGGAAGGGACAGAGGAGAAAGGACCAGACATGGTCGGGCTGCTGAGCCCACCCCACCAGGGCCATGCTCCGGAGAGGAGATAGGACACTTGAGTAAATCAGGGTGACCTGGGCAGGTCTCATCCCAGTGGAACCTCATTCTCCAGCCTCCTGCATCTTGGTATCTCGGGAGAGGGCTGAAGGTAGAGGGAGGAGCCAGGTGGATGGGTCTGAGTGGCCCATAGGACCATGTCCAGCAGGGGATTTGGAAGCGCCCAGAAAGGGCAAGAGAGACTGGGCCTGGAGACAAGGCCAAGAGAGCAGTCGTGAGCCAGTGCAGATCTGGGTGGTGTCCTCTCAAAGGGAGGGCACAGCTACCTTGCAGCAGGGGCCAGTGAAGACGGGACCCCAGGAGGTCCAGAAAGATGTGCCCCCGGCCAGGCAGAGGTCCCTGCAGGCAGAGAATAGTAACACAGGAGCCTGGCTTTTGTGAGCTAAGTCTGAGATCCCTGCCTGCTTGGAGCTGCCTGACTCTGGCTTCCTGTCCACTGCTGGCCCTGCCTGAGCCTCTCTTCAACCTCTGGCTCACCTTCTGGGGCCACACCTGGTCTCCTCCTCCTGCATCCCACAGCCAGGCCCCAGCCCTCAGGTGGGGTCTCCCCACCAACTCCTGGCCTGGGCCCCTCCCTGCTGGGCACAGATGCCTGGATCTCGTGTCATGTGTGACGCTCTAGTCCACAGTGTTCTCATCCCTGTGGGACCTCATGAAGATGCCAAGTCCCGAGGCTCTGTGTCCTCATTTCTAAGTGGACGTAGTGACTGTCACATCAATCCCAGGGTGAGAGGAGGAGGAGGGTGACATCCTCAGTGTCACAGCCAGAGTTAGTGCTCTGGGTGTGTGTAGAGCCTGCGGTGGGATGCTCAGCTCTGTGGTGTCCCAGAGGTCACAAACACAAGAGGGCCACATGTCTGCGGAACAGGATGCATGCAGCAATGCCTGACTCCGTGGGCAAGCTCTCGGGTGCCTGAATATTTTCCACTTATCCATTCATTTATTTATTTTAAACACATCTACCATCGCACCCATAAACCTTACATAAAATGAAATTAAACCAGAAAAAGCAAAACCCCAGAGGCAAGAAACAAATTGGTGACTGCTGAGAATCAAGGGCACAGGGGTGACTCTGGGAGTAGTGGTCCTACCCTGGGTCTTGGTTGTGGTAATGGCCATGAGACTGCATGCTGGTAAACACTGCTGGTGTGGTGGTACACACCTGTAATCTCAGCACTCTTAAAGCCAGGAACAGGAGGATCTTGAGTTCAAGGCCAGTTTGAATTCCACAGCAAGACCTTGTCTCAAAAACCAAGAAAAATCGTGGCCTGGTGGCACACACCTATAATCCCAGCACTCAGGAAGCTGAGGCAGGAGGATCATCTTGAGTTTGAGGCCAGTTTGGGCTACATAGTCAGTTCAAGGCCTGCATGAACTGCATAGCAAGAGCCGGTCTCAAAAAAGCAACAAAAACAACAACAACAACAACAAAAAACAAAGACACCCAACCAACCGAATGAACAAATGTTTCATAGAACTGTGTAATAAAATGGTGAAATTTACAGCATATGAATTGTACCTTAATAAAATATATTTAAAAAATAAAATATGTTTAAAATGATGAACATAGCCAAACAATAACAAAATTCTACAGTGACAGGATGTTGAATTGGTGGAGTTTGACGAATGGACAGTGTCACCTCTGGAGACAGGGTTTGGCACTGGTGGGGCAGAGGTACAAGGAGATTTCTATAATTTTGGGGTGTTTGATGCTGGGTTTGGGGGTGGTGACCTGGGGGGTCTATGTAAAATACGTTAGGCTGAGCCACTCCTAGCAGTGCATTTTCCCACCACAGCTCTGTTACACCATAGAAGGTTGTCAGCCGCGTGTGCAGCAGATCCCAGCTGCTTTGAGGGTTTCTGCTGGTTTAGATCGGCTCTGAAAGCTGAAGGGAATTAACGGCAATGGGTTTGCTTAGTGCCACGCTCAGCTGGGCATTCAAGGCTGCATGGGTTCCTTGCCGCCTTTGGGTGTGCTCACTTCCACCCGGCCCCCTTTGCAGCTGAGCTTCCAGGCAGCTTTTCAATAGCCCTGTGTAGAAGATGCCCACAGAGAAAGAATCTTCAGTGCTGTGATTTGGTTGTGGTTTGAAGCTCACCTGTGGAGGCTCTTGGGGACAGAATCTCGAAGAGGCAGGGCCTGGGAACGGTGGTTTGGGGGCATCACCCTGGGAAGGGATGGGTGGCATTCTCATGGTACCCGGTTAGCTTTCAAGGGACAGCTATTATACAAAGAGCAAGGACTGGGTCTGGAGGTGTCAGTGGCGGAGCATGCACTGAGTGTGAGTGTCAGGCAGCTTTCCTGTTGTCCGAGACCCACAACTTCAAGGAGGGGAGGTGTCATTTGGCTCACGGTCTAGGGACTCAGTCCACAGTTGGCTGGAGCATCGTGGGGAAGGATGTGATGGAGCAGAGATGCTCAGTCCGTGGGGCTGGGAAGCAGCACGTTGGAAGAGCACCATGGAGGAAGGGGCTGGGAGCAGACACAGACCCCAAGACCACGCCTCCATCACCAACCCAGACACACCCAGAAGTGTGCTGCACTAATCTCTAGGTGTTTCTCAATCCAATGAAGTCGATGCATGAGGATTAATGGTCACTGCATGTGTTCGATCCCCAACGCCAAAATAAATAAATCAATAAGCAAGCGGTGCTGGCCCCTCCTCACCCCCGGCTTCCTGTCCTATCTGCCACCGCTCCTTCTCACACATGCGCCCGTAGTGATGAACCCATCGTGTTGTGATGTGGCCAGCAGGGACCTCACCAGAGGCCCAGCCCACGAGGCCACCCATTCTTGGGCTTTCAGCATCCCCAACTGTGATCTAAATACAACTCTGTCTTTATAAAGTACCCAGGCTCATGGATCTCATGGCAGCAACGGAAGACAGAAAATACTTTGGACACCCTTGAGGCCACTCTTGGGCTGGAAGTGACGCCTTAGAATAACTCACATTTCCTCACCCTGATGTGGCTCCCTGCTGTTCCTTCTCCACACCATTCGGGGACGGCTCCCAAATCATCAGGTGACAGGGGCCCTTCTGCACACCCTGACAGTGCCTGAGCTGACCCCACCCTCTGCTCATCACCCACACACCCAGGCATGCGTGAACTCAAGCTCATGGTTCAGCAGCCTTGAAGCACGGGGCACGCTGCCAAGTGGCAGCTTTGCTCTCCGGTGTCCCCTTACAGGGACATGCGGCAGGGCTGCCTTCTGGCAGGACCGGCTGAAGAGAGGTTCAGAAGAGAGAAATTGGGGAGGAAAAGCCGAGTTACCTTGCCAAACCCTTTGTTGACCAGATTGAAGGCCAGCTCCCGGCTGACCCCATCCACCCAGCAGACGTCCTTCTCTCCCATGGGCTCTGAGAGGAAGGCTCTCAGCCCAGGAGACATGGGCTCCATGTCCTGCAACGGCAGAAGGAGGGCGAAGGGTTAGGAGGTGACTGACGCTCAGGGTGTGTGGCCCCGGTGCTCCTCCGTGTTGAGGGGCTTGGGACAGTAGGTGCAGATTTCCATCCACTGTCCCAAGTGAACAGGGGACTTGTGAATGCAGGTGCTGTCCTGGCTGAAGGCTTGACCCTTCCACAGCCACCTCGGTGACAGAGAGTGCCGTCCCTGCGGCCGGTGCAGAGGCGGGCTCCTGTCCCCCAAGGGCTTGCACCCTGCCTTTTTGGCTAAGGACTCTGTCTCCTCTCAGCCACAAGACACTTGTCATGCTGCCATTTGAGCATTTGTCACACTCTCTGCTAACTGGTGCTCAAATTGTTGTCCTGTAACCTCAAGCCCAGGCCACGGCAGGTGTGGTCCAAGTGATGCCAGGCTCCGTTTCTCTGCGATTCTTCCCACTGGATCTGGGAATGAGGAAGCTGCTTTCTCTGAGCTGTGCAGCTGTGAGTTCAGGTGTCACCTGAAGACATCAGGACTCAGCCAGAGAAGGGGAGACGGGAGTCAAGGAGTCAGCATAATGTCCTGCTGCAGCCCACCTCTGGCCACCCAGGGCTCCTTTGCTGTCCTTCCCACACATCATTGCTAGGTTCAGGGTCAGATCCAGGGAAGGGCTGGCCTTTGTCACGTCTGACAGCGACCTATGAGTGAGACCCTGGAGCTCAACGTCACGGACACGGCAGCAAGGCGGGAGAGGGTACAGCAAGGGCATCCAAGTGGAATCTTCTTGGGGACGGGTGAATGGAGATGCATTCCGTGGTCACTGCTCACAGGACACACAGCGCCCTGCTGGGTGGGAGTGCCCGGATGGTGGGCTGGTCCCCAGCCAGGCAGTGTGGCGCTGCAGCTGGGCCGGGCCGTGTTTATAGCTGAGGGTGAGTGTGGGGCCGACCCCTCCCAGCAGTCACCACTGCAGCACCCAGTCCTGACAGGCGCACGCTCAGGGCTGCCCACGCGAGGGGCACACTCAGGCCACACGGGGCCATTTCTTGGGCAGCTTAGTGTCTGGGTATGGTTCGTCCATGGCCCACAGCAGAGCTTCTCAGCTAATGACCCATCATCATCTGATCCGAACTTCAGCCCAGCGAGTCACTGCCATGCCTGCATCCGTGGCGGATGGCCGACAGTCAGGAGGCAACACCACACCTCCATTGCTCTCCCCTCCAATGAGCCATCCAACCCAGAATATGAGTCTCCTAGGACCACAGGGAAGACTGCCAGCCATAGCCTATGTCCTGAATGTCTCTTGCAAGAGCCCCAGTATGAGGTCTGTGTCTAGCACTGTGGGCCACGGTGCCAGCAAGCGTCACCATCTTCCTCATCCCAGGAAAGAAACACTTGCCACTGTCTGCCTGGCAGGCTCTTCCTGGCCACGCCCACATTAAAGTTTCATTCATGAAGCATCCCCTTTCTAGAACCAAATTCTGTTTCAGTTTGGACAGTTTGTGACTCATGGAACAGAAAATCCAGTAAGGAAGAGTTTGTTAGCACACACTGCCCAACAGAGGAGACCAGATGTGGTTTGATCAAGGTTCAACCTGATTACCTGCCTTTCTCTTAACTCAGCCTTCCATTGCGTGTCAGCTCAATGCTCTCCTGAACCCCCTCATGGAAATAAGCAGGCTGCACCAGTGCCTGCCATTGCCTTTGTAACCCATACTGTCCTTCAAAGGAACACACAGAGCTCTCTTTCCATAGCAGCCATCAACAAATGCCCTTCTCCAGCTGAAATTGCCAGACACCGGCCCCTACAACAAAAGTCCTGACCTGGTATGCATGTCCTTCTGTGTCAGAAGGCTCAGGAGTAGCTCTGTTCCTGGGGGTGGTCACCCTGGACCATCACAGGGACTGTGGAGGACGGGATCCCCAGTGTCTGTCTCCTTGCAGTCTTCACTCCCCGCATCCAGCTCTGGCCCCAGTGCTCAGATGACACAAATGAGCAGACCTGTTCAGCGCCTCCGCTTTCCAGCTCCACCCCCCACCCACCACCCTGTCCCCTCCCTCCCCAGCCTCCTGCAGACCATGCTGCAGAGCTGACCCTCTCCTGGAAGCCTTCTTGTTTTGGGACATTTTGGATGGAGCAGAGCTGCAAGGAGAGGTGGATTTGAAGGCCCTAAGTTTAGGGGCCAGGAGCATGGTCTCCTGATGCCCACAGATGGAAGCAAAGCTCATGTGATGGGAGAGGATGTTCAGGTGCTCTGCACTGTGGCCTCAGACGCCCATGTGTGAGCTGTGGCTGCTCCATGCTTGGGGGCCGCAGGCCGGTGGGCCCCCTGGCAACCTTATGGACTGATGCATTGGGACCTGGGGTCCTACCCCCGGGTGCGGCTGCGAGGGCCCTGATGTCTGAACTTGGAATAGCCTGGCAGTCTCAGCCACAGCAGCTTTCCCCTGAATATCAGGGATGAGTGAGCTCCACGAGAAAGGCAAACAGCCTGCCGGCTGGGCCGTGCTGATCCCCACCTCTGTCCCTCCGTGATGTGATTTCCGCTGCTCTCAGTTCACGGTGCAGTGACTGCAGCTTAGCAGATGGCCAGCGGGGGACATGATAGAGTGGGGCAGCCCCTCTGAGGCCGCAGCAGGTGAAAAGGAGCAGGGAAAGCTCTCCTTCCTCCTCCTCCTCCTCCTCTTTATTATTATTATTATTATTATTATTATTATTATTATTATTACTACTACTACTACTACTACTACTACTACTACTACTGGCAGTACTGGGGATTGAGCTAAATGTACTCAGCTAAATTCTACGGCCCCTAAAAAAAATTTTTTTTTTTTAAATATTGATGCCAGGTCTTCCTAAATCTCTAAATTGACCCGTCTTGGCCCAATCCTCCTGCCGCAGCCTCCCCAGTGTTGGGATTACAGATGTGTGCCACCACACCTGGCCCATGACTCTGTTTTTATCAGGACTTACAGAATTTACTTGGGTCCCATCCCAAAGGGATGGGATGCTCCCCAAAAGCAGACACCGTTTCTTCTTGGGTCTTCTTTAGGGGAGACAACCTCCCTCTGAAACTCTCACTGGAATTGCTGTTGGTGACAGTGGCCAGAGTCAGGCACTTCACTGGCCAGGAGTGGGGCCACCATGGGGCAGATGAGGTCAGGACACCCCCTCCCCAGCGTACAGTGGCTCTGAGAATGATCAGGTTCTGGAGAAGGAAGGTGGAGAACATCTGAGTGGAGGACATCAGGGTCTGCTGAGTCTTCTGAACTCTGGCTTAGTGGTCAGTCCACAATAGCAGGGCCCTTCTCTGAGTTCTGCATGTCGGAGACCACCTGGGGGTCTTGTTTAAAGCATGCAGGGAACAATTGTCCAACCGGGGATGGGCTTCAGATGCTGTGTGACCACAGCTTGGCCAGGGTTTTAGTTACTTTTTCTTGGGGCTGAGACAAAATATCTGACACCCAAAGTTAAAGGCGTAAAGGTTAGTTTCAGCTCACAGTCTGTAGAGGTTTTAGTCCATAATCATCTGGCTCCAAGGCAGGGTGGCACAGCAGAGGGCAACAGTTTGTGGCACACAGAAGGTAGCAAAAGCATTGAAGCAGCAAGCAAAAAGTGGCCAGAGACTCTCTTTCTGTCCCTTATATCTTATCCAGTTTAACTACCCTTAGGGCGATGTCACTCACACCCAGGGTATGGCAGCCTTGATCCTCTCAGAACTGTGCCGAACCCATCAGTGGACTGATTTGGTAATTGCACACCTTGATCCTAGCACCACACACTCTAGAGCCATCCATCTACCTCTGAAAGAGTCCTATGACTGTATGAGGCTTTAGGGGAATGTTCAAGTCACCACCTCATGCACCTTGCTCCTTTTATGTCAGTTATTTTTTATGGTAAGCTGGGCATAGTGGTAGATACCTGTAATCCCAGTACTCTGGGAGGCTGAGGCAGGAGGATCACAGGTTTGAGCCCCACTGGGCAACTTAGCAAAACTTTGTCTCAAAATAGAAAATAAAAAAGTGCTGTGATGCAGCTCAGGGCAAAGGCCCTGTGTTCAATCCTCAGTACTAAAAATAAAATAAATAAATAAAAGAAAATTGATTGTGGAAAACTACACAGACTTAAAATCTACCACCTAACTTCTCTACGTGTACAGTGTTAAGGGCATTCACACTCATCTCCAGAGCCCTTTCCACACCCATAAACACCACCTCTCTGTCTTCCCACCAGTCTGCCAGCCACCTTTCTGCTTTCTGGGTCTGTGGACTTCACTACTTTGAGTGACTCGTGGATCGCAGAGAACAGTTGTTCTTTTGCATCCGGTTGGCTGATGTCCCTTGATGTAATGTCGCCAAGGTTCATCCACTGTAGCATGAATCAGAACTCCCTTTCTTTTCTAGGCTGACCGCTGTTCCATTGGACAGTGCACCATATTTTCCTTCTCTTCCTCCACAGGTGGACACTGGGTTCTCCGACTCTGGCAGAGCTGCTTTGAACGTGGGTGCATAAATGTCTCCTCGAGACTCTGCTTTCCATCCTACGGAGAACATAGCCAGACATGGGGTTGCTGGGTCGTGCGGTGATTCTAGTTGTAATTTTTTGAGGAATCCCCATAGTGCTTTGCATCTGGCTGACTTGATAGCAGTCATCCCTACATGGGTTGATGTGGAAATCAGGGTGCTCAGGCCCCGTCCAGAGTTGGTTTGGTCAGCCAGGATGGTGGTCCCAATATCAGGCTTTTCGGAGACTCCTGTGTGTCCCCATCATTGGTGTCTTTCTCCTCAAATCCTGAGCACCTCCACTGGCATGGCGACAGATTCCAGCTATATGGGATCTGTCTGTCTGTCTGGTTCCCGTGTGGCAGTGCCTTCCCTGAGTCACCACATACAACATACCTCATTAGCCGCCATCCCTAGGGATTCTGAACAATGACCCTGGTCTGGCTTTGAAGTTGGAGGACTTTCTGAAGCACGGCACTCAATAGCAAACTGCTCCTTCTTTTTTGTTTTTTAAT